TACCTACAACAGCATCTTGCATGGATTTCCAGCCAAGGCAGAGAAAGGTTTGAGGAAAAGAAAATATTACAAATATATAATAATAATAAACTAGTAATAACTAGAGGAGAGTCTGAAGTCATGCTATTGAGTATCATTTCATTTGATGCATTTAACTTAATAATTGTAACAAGCACCATGATACTGTAGATAAACCGTGCGAAACAAAGAAATAAAGGCGTGTCAGAAGCAGAAAGTCCCTGATCATCCTGGGACCAAATATGCAAAGGATTGGATGACTGTCACATAAAGCATCTTATAAAACCTTAGGTGCAGCACTAGAGAATATAGAAATTACTCCCTCGTCTCTCTGCATTACATCTCTAGTGAAGGATTGGCTGACACAGAAATATTCCTTCATAGTAACAATGGCTCTAAAATGAGTTAGCGTTACATGGAAAATGTGATCATTAAAAAATATTATGAGAGAAAAATACATTGTTTATCTAGGTAAGGTGTTCTACAATATGTGTCCCACATCCTGACACATGATTTAAAGGTATAGAGGAAGATCTTTTTTTTCCGGGTGGATCATCTAAATAATTGGTCCTCCTAACTGTCATAGTGGTGATATGTTAATGTAAGGCTGTCCTACGAGGTCGTCCCAAGTTAGCTATCTAAATGTTATTTAATCCTTTATTTATAGTGGAAACGGTTGTAATGTTTTGTACATTTAGATGTCAAAATCCTGCAAACATCAAATGGCAGATTTATGAAGCACTTTCCAAAACAAAGGAGCATTTCCTCAAATCAATGATCAGATCAGCCTAATCTTACCCCACTGTTCAAAGTCGACAAACCAACAACTTTATTTTTGATATGAATAAATGCAGTAGATACATTCAGAGGTGTTTATTGGTGCAGAGCCTACTTTGCCTTCAGCTTTAAAAAGCCTTTTAAAAATTTAAACAATTTATATCGTTTTCAATTATAAATCAGGGAGCTAGAATAGTGATTTAAAAATTACATTTAACTTAACTTTTATATACTCTTTTTAGACCTCAGCAGAACTTAATTACAATATAGGGGGGAATCCCAAGGTCATTGTTAGTTTACTGTTGTATAATCGAACACAGCCATCTTCATCAGAGCTGATTGATCTGTTTAAATTAAAAAGAGATTAATTTTCTGCTGAAATCTGTAAAATAAATGTTCTCCTCATCTATGCTAAGGACTAGGCCACACATATGAGTGGAAGTCAATGAAAAGTCCCCATAACACGGGGAAACACCACACAGGAGTGATTTTCCCAATTGCTCTCTAAACGGAGGGAGGCCACACCAGAGCCTTCATCAAACCTGATAGGCACTCGCTTACAGTGCTATATAATGTGTACAATGAGGGGCCATTCCAGAAAAGGTTAGGATGGAGAGCAGCCCTGTGACCCCCAAGCAAGCCCAGCATACCTCCAGTTTAAACAATCCACAACACGAGTTACCACAAAGACAATACCGGGCCTGGGCAGGCAGCCCCATATCAGCCACTCCCACGGTGCCATTAGAGGCCCCAGGCTACCCTCGCATCCTGAGTCCCTGCTGGACCAGCATAGGAGCTGCCGTTTGTGTCTGTGGTGAGTACAGATGTGAAAAGTGCATCAAATTCAGCAGGTTACTGCAGGAATGTATGAGACCCCACCTCATAGCCTCATAGTCTTCCTCACCTCAACCCAGACACCCTGAACTAATTAAAACTGGGGCTAGTTATTACAATGGGGGATGGGTTATTATGGATAACACCCTGTAAAGCTATTTTAGCTAGTCTCTATCCATTCTTAAATAGTTTAACCAGAGCCAAGGTTAAACTTTCCAGTCATTTTATCTTCTGAACAGCAGTTGCTACCAATATAAGTTTAACATTCGTCAGGAAAAATCTTTACAAGCCACATGTAGGAGTAGTTTTGAAAAGCTAATTTAAAAAATATCAATGCTTTATGCCTTATCAGAGTCAGATGTCTTTGCATAAAGGGAGCACAAACAACATGACAAAAGCATTTAATCTAAATTAAGTTGAGAACAATAAAAAGGCCCTGGAATTTTCATGTTTGTTTCAGATCCTTTAAGCTGAC